CCGGTCCGACCATCCTGTACGGTTTGCAAAGAACAAACTAGAGAGAAATTGCTTTATGTACTCTGTCCCAGTGCCACACTGCATAATGCAAAATGGGAGTTTTTTTCCTAAATACAACAATAATTAAAAAATATTCCTAAAACACTAGACTTATATTTCCCCCCCCCCCCCCCCCCAAAGTACCTAAGTTTAGAGAGCCTCGATCCAATTTTTGATGTACTGGATCGAGTCTGATGGCCTCGATCCATGTGTTGAAATTTCTTATAACCTTAACTTTGTGCTCGGTTATCCGACCGTAGTAAATTTTTTTATGAATCCGTATAACTTTCCGAAGACTACAACTTTTTTCATAGAAATATTTTCAGAATGTATGAGAAAATATGAAAAGTAAAGCTAACTTTATTCTCAAAACTCCTTATATCCAAAATGATTTCCTATGCTGAAAATGTCATCCTAGTAAAAGTTGCAGGACTCCAAAATTTATGCAATATAAACTTTTTTTGTGTGAATATCGGATTACGGACCACAAATTTATGATAGTCCAAAATTTGACAAAAATAAAAAAATTGGCCGTTTGGAGTAGCAAATGACATATTTTCCGATTTTGTCAAACTTTAAACAATTATAAGTTTGTGCTCCACAATCCGATTGTAGTGAGTTTTTTTAATTATGGTTGTATTTGGGGAAAAACTCTTGGAAAATGGAAGGAGTATTATTTATAAGAAAGAAGAGACTATAGGGACACAACCAGTCAACCATTGATTTCCTATAACCTAAGGGACCACTTGTAATCTATGTTCCTGAATCATCTCACGGGACAGACACAAAGTAGAGTCTGAGACAATTCTGCTTATGCACTCTCTCTCTGGCTCTCTTTGTCTCTCTCTCTCTTCATACAAACTCGACACGTGCACCTCCATCTAGCTAGCTGATATGATTAAATAGTTGCAATTTCTCTTTCTCTTCTTTCTGCTACTCACAGTAAATTGAGTAGCAGCAGGTAGCTGCCAACTTACCTTTTCCGGCCAGAGGAAGAAAGAGAAGGAGGGAAAGGAACAAAGAAAAAGGGTATTATTTTAAGGGGGTGGAAATGGGGAGAGGGAGGGTAGAGCTGAAGAGGATAGAGAACAAGATAAACCGACAGGTCACATTTGCCAAGAGAAGGAATGGGCTGCTGAAGAAAGCCTACGAGCTCTCAGTTCTGTGCGACGCAGAGGTTGCCCTCATCCTTTTCTCCAACCGTGGGAAGCTCTATGAGTTCTGCAGCTCCTCCAGGTTGATTAACTAATCTTCTTCTTCAAATACACATTACTTTCCCTTCTCTCTATCTCTAAAACTGTTTTCTTAAATTAACATCTTATGTGGGGTTTTTGCGACTATTTTTTTCCTTATTGTTTTTGAACGAACCTGCTACGTACTCTTCTAGCTAGATGTCTACATTTTTCTCCATGATGTTGGGACTACTTTCTTGCTGATCGGATCTACAATTGTGTTGATAGGATCTTGCTGTGTTTCAGTGTGAGAGTGGAGGCTGACCATGATGGAAACTAGAACTGATAGTTTTTATTTCTTCTCCATCCCTTTTTTTTTTGTAGCTGTTGAAGATAATTTGAGTGGGTTGGATTAACCAATATTTTGACTAATTTTAACTTAAAAGTTGGCGTTTTTTCTTAATACCAGAAAGTTGGAGTTTTGGAACAAGGATCTTTCACAAGACAATATTATTATTTGAAGATCTGACTACTTGTTAGTTATTTTGATCTATTTTTTTTTTTCAAAATTTGAGTTCAAATCATTAAGACCCACCATATGTACTTCTTATTTTACATTGAACTACGGTTTTGTTTTCTCAAGTCAAATTAGTGCATATGGGAATGGTATTTAATTTGAAACACTAGTTAACCAGATGATATCAAGTGATAACTAATGTTAATCCGTCTATAGTTAATTAAATATATTTAATTAGCGTGTCAATTATCTAAAAAATTCTTAGGCTGCCTTTTTGAAGTGTGTATCAACCAATTTACCAGAACCAAACCGTAATATGAATCAACATGGTATTTTACTGACTTAACTAGTATTAATTCGCTAAAAACTATTAAAGAACGATTGTCTTACTAAAAGAAACATTATATAAACTCTTTCAAAAAAATATTAATTTTTCAAAACAACTTTTTTGGTTACAATGGTGGGTGGGTGGCGGTGGAATTCGAGCTTTAATTTTGGGATTTTTATTAGTTTGCACCTTTTGGGACGGGGCATTCCCTTCAGAAAATATGACTCCCAAATCAGAGAAACAAGAAAAGCTACACATAAGAAAACCCCCTCCTCCGTCCAGATCCATTCTATGAGACAAACATCGATCGATCCTTCACTAGCCAAAAAAATAAATTCTTTCCTCCAAATATTTTGGGTGCGTCTATGCTTTTCAATGATTCATACCACACCCTTCTCCCCCAATATCGAAGAAGACGGCCATGGAGGTAGATTGGGAATCACAGGCATGTGGGATGGCAATCAAACTTATGCCCACGGGTATCCGATCTCTCCCGATTCAGTAAACGCGGAGAATCCCCTCACTGATTGAGTATGAGGCGGGTATGGATAAAATCCGCAAAAAGTTTGATTGGTATGGGATGTGTATGGTTTTAACCTCCCCGCCCAATACCCGTACCCGTCCCATAAAAAATATTTCTTCATAGAAGAAAAATATGTGAATCAATTTGTAACCTATCAATAATAGTGAGTATAACTCAAGAAAAACATATAGTACAAATGCAATTGAGTGGCCACCCAAATCAAAATCTTATTTCTTTCTCTCAATTTTCCCTTCACTCTTTCACTTTTTTCCCTTGTTAAGAAGATTATGCTAGTTAATTATTACTTAATAGATATATCATAGTAGAGAATAATGATTTGGATGACATTGTACTCTACTCTGATATGAATTAATGGATGTTTTAGGATAAGATGTTTTGAATCGTATTAAAAATGATTGTCTCTTTGTCGACTTCATGATATAGTAGGTGCGTTTAATGTTATAATTGAAAATCAACATGTAAAATATTCGGTATTATAATGTTGGATGTAGGAGACGGGTATTACCCATGGGTACGGAGATGGGTTTGCAAAACCATCCCCGCATGGGTATGAGGCGGGTATGGATATAGATATTTGAAACCGGGGATGGAGATGGTTTAGACAAACCCACCCCAAACCCGCCCCATTACCATCCTACAGGCATGGGAGTAGCTGGAGAAAGTTCGGCGAAGACAAGTGGATGAGTTTCTATTTTCTTTTCCCTTTGACAGAGCCTTAGCCCATATATAGGGAAGCTATGGTTGAGTGGAATGCTATGAATTGGTCGGGTTGTTCAAGCGAAATGATCAGTTAATCGTTTAAACTGCTCATTCATCGGTAGTTTGAATATGACAAATTTTCACTATTTTAAGCCGGTCTAGCTTTTAATTCCAAATTTTACCAGTTCGGATGATCAATTTTCATAACACTAGTACCACCATTAAAAAGCACAAACTATGGAACCACATGAACTACCTCAACTGGTAAAATCAGCCACGAATATACTCTAACAAGTAACAAGACAGTCTCAAGTTATTCAAGCTCAACTGAGTTGTGCTTGTAGCAACAATAATTTCATACATTCTGTTTCATCTTTCTCGCCAAATCATATTAAGGATCGTGCTTCAAACGAGTCTTCCAATATATGCAACATCCACTCCACTTGTCCAATGACTACAAAGCCACACTACACATTCTTCCGTTCCTCAAATCCAATGGGTGGGGTAACTCTTTCAAACACTACTGCAAAATACATATCGAGTATAAGAACATGATATTATGCAAACTCCTATATTAGTCATTCATTAGCCATTCTAATCCAAACTAGATAGTACCTCGGCCCGTTGGCCGGCTACCATACGATAAAAATAATTAACAAAATTTCAAATTTAAATTGTTTAGAAAATTTAAAATTAGCATCCATCATAAACTTAATGTTGTCATTGGTGCTTTCTATGCACATTCTTGTTGGAATTAAAAAGATATGACTTATGCAAGGGTATATCAACCCATTATAAACTTAATGACACAATATTATATATATTTCAAAATGACCAATATCAGTACCTCTTTACAATAAAAAATATCCATCATCAACTTCACTATCTCCATTATCAACATGCATTTTTTCGCATTTTTTGTGAAGCAAATTCAACAAATAAAACACAATCATATATGAAATATCATTTTCATGGCAAAATATCTTACCTCATCCTAATAAAAAATGTTTGTTTACCTCATCCTAATGACAAATGTTGTTGGAGATTATATTTTGCCATCATTTATAATCTTCAAAACTATTAATTCGGTTATGAAATTTGTGATGTTATGATAAGTTAATCACTAAACTTAATATGAACTTCAACTACATTCTTTTTTTGGTAAATACTCCATTCCTTCATTTAATAATGCACCTTGAGTGACATTCAATCATGAATATCAAATTTAGGTTATATGAAGGTAGCTCTAATTTACCTTTTTTTTTTAAGTAGCTTTAAGTAAAGAGAATAGTTTTTTCACCGGCAACGCTGACTAATCACCAATAAATGAACATTAACAACTCAAGTACTACTAAACTAATAAAGTAGGAATGTTTATGTAACTTGAGCTTTAGAGACAGAGAAGAATGAAATGGCTCTGATGAACATAACATCGATAGCTTAGCAAGAATCTTGTTGAATTGAGTAATGGTTCATTTTCATAAAGTTGTCTTCAAAACATATTTTTCTATACTTGAACTAAAGCTTAGAACTTTAGTAGATCATGCAATTGAAAAATCAAAAGCTATACATATAAGCTGGTATTGCCACGATGTACATAGATGATATGAATTTATTGAATTTTACTTTTTCATATGTTCTCTTGAACGTTCATTTTGTCTTGTCTACAACACAATAGAACACTAATTATTAGCCAAACATTTCTCAAATTCTATTTTATTAGCCAAATTTATTGAATTGCTAATAATTAGTCAAATGTTATCTTCCTGTTAGCAAGTTTGTTAGTAATATTGATTTGGCAACATGATACTGACTTGGAACTTGGAAGAGACACGTGGACGTCAAAATTCCAAAAAATTTAGTATCTTAACTAAGAATGGAGTTACACAATTATTAGCGATAATTAGTATTTACTCTTAAGACTTTGGTTTATTTAAATTTGTGGTTACTTGCTCCTAGTTGTTGCTTCCATGGAGTGTAATATATGGTTATAATAATAATGACTTAATTAGAATACCTAGCGCTAGCTTGGAAGTTGGACGGAAGAAAACCTGAAAGGAAGGGGATTAGATTTTCAGTACAATTATAATTACTAAGGCTTGGTATTAAATATACTCAAATCACGTAGTAAACCCATTATACTAAAAGTCCAAAAGGCCCTAATGAGGACTGCGCAGAATCAAGGAAAATTGGAATGAAGGGGGTTCCGAAGGAGAACATCCTTATAGTTATTGTGAGATATGTGTGTAGCGTACAAACCCTAAAACTTAAATTAGTGCTAATATCCAAGCCAAAACCAAAGCCAATATAAATCAAAACCAATGTCAAACAATACAAATACGAATTGAGATGAATATCGATTATAAAAATACAAAAAAGGAACAATAATATAGTACACCAATACAAATATCAACAACTACAAACATAAATAAATACCGATTCACGAATATTAGTTATCCTTTTTGAACGGGCTCTGCCATCAACATTATCTGGAAAGAATAGTTAGAGAACGCTGTCAGAGACTGAGAGGAACTTGTCGATTTTATAACGCGAGAGAAAAATAGGAAAAGTAATTGCAGACGAAGGGAGAGAGAGATCGTCATAGAGAGAGGGAGAGAGAATGTGCATGACAGATAAATATATATAGATAAATAAATAAAGAGAGTCATGAGGGAGAGAGAGAGAGAGGGTGTCACTAACGGGATGAATAGGCCCAAAAATTCTCCTCTCAAATCCGGATAATAAGATTGTGAGCATTTTGAATGAGCAACTAATACCTAGGTGGTCACGGTGTAAACCTCACCACGCATCGACAAGCTTCCGTTGTTAAGTTTTTTATGGGAGTTCTTTAGTTGATTTGATATTGGACTAAGGAAAGTTTTCACTAATAATGCAAGAAAAATTTATTCTCCCCAGTTAAGGTATGATTAGTTCGATGGTTTTCAATATTGAGGAAACGAGAAGAGATACAGAAATTTAAGAGCTTGATAGTGTTTGTTTTCCTAAAAAGAACATAGTTTGATGGTCGTTCGAAACCTTGTTCGACGAATCACTAGAAAATTATGTGTAATTTTCATTTCTTTTTACACTCCAAGTTTTTTCGCCTGAGTATTGGGTACCAAAATCATAAATTTGAGTAGCTGAAACACATACTAACTGGGATGGATAGCTCACTTGGTTTTGCTAATATGATCAAATTGTATAATTCTTGGTTCAAAGGACAATAGAAGTAGTGAAGAAAGGAATTCCATGTGGGGTCTTAAGTTAACATGGTAGGAGGCCATTCTCCATTAGATTAGGACTAGTATTCGATATAACCGATTACCAACGGTATTCGGTATACCGTTTAATTTCGATATTCGCCAGTCATAAATTGGAAATGGTAATACCGAAACATAATCGTTAACATACCGATGGCGAGCCGTTATACCGTTATACCAGATCAGTTGTTCCCATTCGAAAAATGACAGCGGATTGTCCCCCAACCCTACCCTAATTTCTCGCTTTGCCTCACCCTGCCTGCCTCCACACAGCGGGCTTCTCTTCCCTATTCCTCTCTCGAGTCCGAGTTCGAGTCTCCGTCTTCCTCTTCTCACCACCACTCACCACCAGTCTACGACACAAAGAGGTTCACCGTTGTTGCTTGAAGCCTCACCGGCCACAGATGAATATATCTTCGAATTTCAGCCGCCGCCGAGTGATCACTGAGTTTGAGGGCAGAGAAGCCGCATAGGGACGACTGATGAGGACGACGCCCCTCCTGATAGCGGTGCTGCAAACGATTCTGACGGTGAGGACGATTCGGACAGGGACAATTATTCCAATTATGGCGCATTCGATTCTGCTGGTGGTAGAGATTTATTTAACTCGTCGACTACAGGGTTTTCTTGTTGCGAGTTGAGACATCAATTTCAGGTGAGAATTCCCGGTCGGATGTGTTCTCTCCCTCCCTCCCACTACCAATTTGATCCTTCCCTTCATTCTGATTCGATTGGAAAGGTTGAATGATGAATCGGTTCTAAAAGACAGCAATTCCTGTTGGTTTTCAGGGTACACGATATTTACCGGTTACCGACTATCAGATATATCGATAACCGACCAAGATTCGGTATCCATATTCGGAAGCCACAATACCAGAAGGCGGTATACCGAATACCGGGTAATCGGCAACTGGTATACCGGACACCGTCACACGACCAAATACCAACCCTACTTTAAAAATTGATCTATGTCCACTAGCTGAAAAAGGTTTTGCTTGGCTACAAATTCTATTAGGAGTTAATTTCATAGAAACACGTAAATTGTGGACATAGTTAGGGTTTGAGTCGGAGAATTAGAGAGGTTTAAGGATAATATTTCGCAATAATAATAATAACTAGAAAAGTGATCGTGCATTGCTGCGGTTCTATTTGATTGAAAACCCTTGCAAAAAGGCTCACTGTCCATTAACAAAAAAGAAGTTATACAAGTAAAAAAAAGCCTTAACAATATATCGCTTTGAAATAATAATAATTATTATATAATAATATTAATAGCCACATAGTTCTTTTTGGTTATATCTTCCCTTCTTAATCAGAAACTTTTTCTTGATTAACTATGAGTCTATGATTCTCCTTCAATTGTAGCTCCCTCTCTCATATGTATGTTTGAATTTGCCTCCTGATATGCTTTGTGTTAATCCCCAATTTTTCCTAAGATGTCACCTTGCATCACCAATTAAAATTCTCAGGCGATGCGACGTTAACCGGTGGTTTATGGGAGGGAATGTTGCAACCGGTTTAGCCGGTTGGTCCAATCGAGTAAGTGAGTTGAGAATTAAAGGTCCGATAATTTTATTCCGATTTAGTTCGGATTTATAAAAAAAAGTTATTATATTTTTCATAAATTAATAAATTATATCATATATCAGCTAACATATGAGTAATAACACATAACATTACACCAAAATAACATGTCGTACTTGAATCTAACATATGGTGTAAATTCACACACATTTAGATAACATCAATATTCAAATGTTGAGCTTAGAATTTCAAAGATTGGGTTAGATGAAAAAAAAAAGATGCATTTCACAAATAAAATAAAAAAAACAATTTGACCTCTAACTCGGTATCTTGCAACAGCCAACCCGATGAGTGCATGTGACCCGTTTTTCTCATCGGTTTAGAGTCAAAGTGGGTTAACAAGCGGGTCGACCGCGTGTTGACAATGGGAGGTGATGGTTGTAGTTTGGTTGGAAGTTTACCCATATCTCTCAATTTGCCTTTGTCTTGCCCATGTCTAATGAACAAATATTATAAGTCCAATCAATAGGCCCAACAAATTTTAGTTACCGCCTATATCTCTTATTGAACAGTAATTGAGGTTTATATTTATATATATTCAAATAAAAAATTAATTAATAAGAAAAGCATGTCCTAATCATTCATAGTACTCTTCCAAGCTGCATAACATATGAAATGACATGGTTTTGGTTTTTCAGTATAATCAAGACGATAGAGAAGTACCAAAGGTATACCTATGGGCAGCTAGAATCAGACCTGTCTTCCAATGACAGTCAGGTAAAGTAACTCATGACCCTTGCTTTGAGGGGCGAGGGCGGCCCTTATCCACTCCATGTATCCACTTGTTTATGTGTTCTATCTATCTTTTTTCTTTTATAATGGTGAAAATATATTAACATGAAACGAAAAAATCGTCCAAAAAACAAAACGGATCAAGAGAGATGATCCAAAAACAAACAAAGAAGAAAAAACTCTACAACAAGGAAGAAAGGAAAGGAACAAGTCCTGAACCCTACTCTCTAACACTAACAAACCCATAACAGACCTCAAAATCGAACTAGCCCCTTTTAACACCACCCCATCCATTCATACTAACAGCTGCAACGGAAAACAGTAGCCGAAAACCTGAACCACTCCAAAGAGACCATCTGCTTCACTCTTCGCTATCTGTTCCTTTCATCCAAAGACGATCAACAGCATCTCTCTCTGGTAAATAAGCAACCTTATCTGTCTACACAACGACCGTGTTCAAACTCTACACCAATCCCATCTCTGTTAACCATCTACTCCCCTCCTCTTTCTACGCTTTTTCTTTTGCTACAATCCATTCCAACGCCTTTTGATGTTCTAAAACACAACACCAATCTGCGACCAAGTGTAATCGGAGACCGGGAATGCAGTAAAGTGACAAGTAATATTATCAACCCGGGGTCTAGATCTACTGCTTACTCAGTGATTATCCATTATCTAGCCAACTAAAGTAAGTGATTGTTGTTTAAAAGCAAAAGCAGAAAGAAATCAAGAATTGATACGGTTTTCTCAAACAGGTAAGAGTCAGTCGGGAATGAGTCCCCCTAGCTCCTTAGTTAGGTTTCAATTGTATTTCCCTGGGTTGATTTACTGTTGATTAGACTGCGGAAGATCCGACAGTAGCTTGGAATCTCTTAAGCTGACCAAGCCCTCTCAGTCTAACTACCTGGCAGACGACTAGTCTTCACCGGGATAGAGAGCTGAAGCAGTAAGAACAGAACTCCACTACTGGAATTAGATTCCAGTACAAAGCAGTAAACTGGCTAACTCTCGTATAGCCAATCTCCTACTACCGAATGATGAGACTCTAGCAACCTAATCAGATTCTATCTATCTCAGATTGCAGCAGGAATCAGGAAAAGTTGATCAGACTTCAATTGACTCAATAAACATGCATCATTCGATTAAAATCAAACAGTAATATCATCCCAAGTCATTACAATCAATCCCTAACACATAGAACTAGGGTTCTTCATCCCCGAGTGAGAGAGGGGTTCTACTCCATAGAGAGAGAGGAAAACAAGATACAAAGCAGTCATACTCATAATTATGGGAAGAATCTGCTCTGGGATGATGATTTCCACTCCTATGACGATCTCCAAGCTTGATTTGATGAAACCCAGCTCCAAGATAGCTTCTAGGATGTGTTCTTCGTCCTTTCTCTCTCTAGGGCTCTGTTTTTTGCTCAAGAAATCCGATCCCTCTTCCTTGGCTCGAATCTGCCTTCAAAAACCCGACTCTGGGCGAAATACGGGCAGAATTACGGCCGTAATCACGGCCTGCCCGTAATTCGCCCACAACGCGCGTTTCACTTTACTCTGATGGAAGAGGAGCTACGCTCGTAATTTCACAATTACCGCCAGTATTTCATTAATTACGGTCATAATTTGGTGGATGCTTGCCCGTAATTTTAGTGCCGAGAAGAATTCTTGGCAAAAGTGGCTCGGCATTGGTTTTACGGGCATGCCCTGATCAATTACGGTCGTAATTTGGCAGGGGATGCCCGTAATTTGTCCTGTGAATCACCATCTGACCACCAAATGACCTGAAACTTGCGCCTATGCACCTCTTTACTTGCTAGGACCTGAAATACGAAAAAACAACACAACCTAGCGTAAAATAGGCCAAGGAACAATCAATTCAATCTAAAATGGACAGGAAACCAGAGTGAAAACACGTGCAAATACGATGCTATCACCTTTTTTGCCGCCTTCTTCCCAACCACTATCGCGTGAGACTCTTTTTCATGAAAAATTCTCTGGTTCCTTTCGAGCCATACATTCCACCAGACAGCGTGAAGCATACAGCCATCGAACCATCCTTCAATACCATCTCCATCAGCGATCAGCCAGTTCGCGATAATTTGGTTGATATTTCCATTTCTCCTTAAGGACCGGCTCCTCCTGCAATACACAATTCTCCATATGTTCTTCACGAAATCACACTCCACAAGGATGTGGAGAATTGTTTCTTCCTGCTTCTTACATAGGCAGCATCTATTTACTAAGCACACTCCTCTCTTCTTCAAGTTGTCAACAGTTAAAATCCTGTTATGATATACCAACCAAATAAAAAAATAGATTTTACTCGGCACCCACGAAATCCACACATTCTCCACTGGAAACTCTTGTATACCGCCTAGATGGTAATCTGCCAACTCCTTGTACAGGGAGCTCACTGAGAAAATCGAGTTAGCCTCGAGGATCCAAGTTAACCTGCACAGACTATGTGAAGCAAACTTATAGTTCAGAGTGTTAAGAAAATTCAGTAACCAATCCCTCTCCCTTGCTGCCCCTCCCCTCAAACTATGTTTAAAGTTAAAATTGTATTTCACAGCCTCACCATCAATACTTATAGTGTCGGAAAATGAGGCTTCAGGGTCAAGTACAGCCGCGACAACACGAGGGAATGAGGCAGCCAACACGATCCCAGGAATCCAACAATCGTGTCAGAAGGAAACTTGAGTACCATTTCCCGGATCGATTACAGAAAAATTCCAGAATTGATCATACACTTTACTTATGTTTGCCCAAACAGACCTGGAAAAACCACACCTTTCTCTCCTGGTCTGCCAACAAGAAACCTTGTTCAGATATTTGTAGCTGATCAGTTCCCTCCACCAACTTCCTCTTTCCACCACAAATCTCCATAACCATTTTGAAAGCAGAGCGTCGTTAAATATCTTCAGATCGTGTATACCGAGACCTCCCTTCTTGACTGCCGCTTTACACAGTTTCCAGTCAATCAATGCCATCTTATTGCCCTCTGCCTTCCCATTCCATAAAAACTTTCTTTTGAGATTTTCCAAGTTTTGTACCACTGTATTTGGGGCCTTAAAAAGGGAAAACAAATAAGAAGTAGAACCGGAGAGGACTGAATTAATCAGTACCATCCTCACCCCGGAAGACAAATTCCTGCTTTCCCAGCCACTTAATCTGCTTTGGTATCTATCAACAATTCCGTCCCATATTGATTTGTCATTCGGTTTCACACCCAGGGGAAAACCGAGGTATTTAGGCGGATCTCTGTTCCACTTGCATCTAGGTATTACACCATTGGTAAGAGTGAAAAGAGGGTCTTAGTTCTATCATAAACAATTTTTGAGATCGAGGATTAGAGTTATCTTTAGAGCGAAAGTTATGGTTTGAACTTTGAATGGATGGGAGTTTTCTTCATAGCTATTAGGATTAATGCAAGAAAATACTATACATAATATATGGCTCTCATAGGATGTACTTTTCACCATGTCTGTATTCGACCCATCATCTTTGCAAGACTTTTCACAAGTACTGTTTAATTTATCAAAGTGTAATTAATTGTTTTTCCTATGTACAAAACGCTGCGTTTGAGCAGAACACCTACCAGGAATACTTGCAGCTAAAAGCAAATGTGGAGTCTCATCAACGCTCGCAGAGGTAATTAACATGCATGGTTACGTTATTGTCACTTAATCGGTGTTGGATTCTGTTGGCATATTACAATATTTTGTAGGCATCTTCTTGGGGAAGAGTTGGTCAACTTAGGAACCAACGAGCTGGAGCAATTGGAGAATCAGCTTGATGGGGCTCTGGAGCAGATTAGACTCACCAAGGTGCGTAATGATGTTAAATGTCGACTATGCATGTTGTGATGGTTGATGAACTTTTGGGTCGTGTTAATATGTACATACATTTCTTAACATCCAGCACATTCTAGGTTCAAACGTCATATATTGACTTAAATTCTCAGAACCATGAGAGTATATACTATATGATAGTGCTTTACTAGTGTATTAATTCGAATTACATGAACTTCTTAGTGAGTTATTGGATTCCTTAATTACTTGAATGCGATAACAATGATTAGGTTAATCATTTGACCTTCTACGTATTGACCGAACTTTCATCAAGGAGGTAATTAGGATTCCAACTAATGTCTATGTGTATAGCCCTAATTAAGATTTATGAGGAAAAAAGGACTTATTTGGCCTTCTCCAAAATTAGAGCGACAATTTTATCAAGGGTGGGTTACCAAGATTCATATATCATACTTCTCTGAGAACTTACTTTTCTCAATAGTTGAGCACTTTACTTTCTGACTCTTTGCAGATTCTGTCTTGATTACTAATTTGTTCCATTTGTTCAAGTTGTTAAAATATGTTCAAGAATGCATACTTATCGCGAAAGCTCCCCACTTTATAAAAGAGCTAGTTACTTTGAACTAATTGGCTGAAAGTTCATCCTTTGTTCCCTCTTTACAGAATCAATTTATTGCAAATCGACTCTTGGAGCTTAAAAGGAAGGTTTGGAACTATAGCAGCATCTCCATGCATACTTCCGCCGCTCCTTGTTATGGCATATATTTCACCACGAGACATCCTTTATGTATGTTATTTCAGGAAGAAATGCTCGAGGAAACAAACAATGCATTGCGGATTAAGGTACAAATTTTTACTAATTCAAGGTACGTACCTTCACATTTACTTTGAATACCATAGATGTTACAGCGTCTGTTTTTGACAGTTGGAGGAGACAGACGCGGTGCTAAGATCTTCATCCTGGGAAGTTGGGGAGCAATCTGGTGTGCCGCCTCACCAACAGCAGGAAACAATGGACTCGCACTGCAGGAACAACCCTTTGCAGATGAGGCAATGATCATCTAGCTATTTACGCGTGTATAATCCTTTTTCACATGGGAAGTCTCTATTTTCTTATTATCTGATTAGATTTTGTTTTTTGTTTGTTTATTTTATAGCTGTGGCCCAATGGAGATAGATGACAGACCGCGGTCAGCTGTGGCGTCAACTTCCGAAAATGTGAATGGCCTTCTGAATCGCCCAGGGTGGATGGCTTAGCTGCTTTCAGGCCGGGAATATTAAGATAAAGAAGCTACTTGAAGATATCATGTGTACGTATAGTACACAGTACCTTGTATTCACGGGGCAGCTTGATTAGCTGCTGCTTGTACTCAAATTCAGCCAATAACATTTGAATGGCTCATCCGCTTTCCTGGAACATGTAGCCTTGCTGTGTCTATCTGCATAATGTTGCTACTAATTATAACCTCTGCTCGAGAGCTAAAATGTAATTGAACCGTTTTAGTCTGATGGTCAATGAGAGTGCAGGGTTGGAAATATGTTAGTGTAAAAAAGTACAACCAAGTATACTTAACGGCCAGATAATTTGGGTAGGGTATACTCAAAAATTATGATGATGATGATTATTATTTATTTATTAGTTAATAGCCAAGATCATAACCACCGTTCATCACCAAATTATAGGGAAACGTTTTTTATTAGGGTTAATGTGCTAGTTTGGCCCGAAGTTCGGCGTAAGTGTCGATTTTTGTCCGAATTTTTTTTATTGAATCGATTACTTTCATTCCTCAAAACCTATATACGGAGTACATATATATAGGAACCAATACAATGAAAAGGAAAACTCAGAGTGAGCATCCCTGTGAAACAAGAAAAAACAATCAACCTACAACCGTATCCACCATCATTTTGAACAAAATTCTACCTAGGTACTAATTTCAACATCTCCGAATCAATACTAAGTGCACAATTTTCACTACTCAAATACATCAAATTAGACACAGTTAGTCTTCCAATAGCATCAGCATCACATGGAGTGCCTTGTGCAGTCTATTACACCTCTCTCACCACACATATGCTACACAAGCACACCAGAAAAGTCCAGCAAATCTGCGTGCACAACAGCAACTTGCACCGTGTCCACCCAAGACTGCTTGTAGAACTGTTTTTCCTCGCTCCAACTGGCTATCACCTGCTGAGAAAAAGAACATTGGAAAAACAAGTGTGCTCTTGTTTCATTCTGAGAATGACAAAGTAAACAAGTTCCATCAACAATCTTCCCCCACTTAATCAGTTTGTCTTGGGTTACAATACCATTCTGCAGAACCAACCAAGCCAGAAAGCTATTGCTTGACAGGGAGTATTTCCCCCATATTAGCCTTAACCACTCCACTTACGCGAACTGTCTACACAACTGAAACTTTTTCTCCTTGATGGAATCAAGCTTCTTCTCCTTGATTGTACCTTCTCCTTGCTCATTGGGTTGATTGGATCTTCAATGAAGCTCTTACAAAGTGTTTTCCTATATAAAACACTCCAAAACCCTAACTTTCTCACTCTAAGGCAGCTCTTCCTTGAAAAGTGCAGCAAGAGAGGTATTTATAGAAAGCTGATGGCGGTCAAGGCTTCCAGGGCGTCACCCAATGGTCACGGTCGTGACCATCAGGGAACGTCCTCGAATCGCCTGAAACAATGCATTTTTCCGTTCTTTAAGCTTTGAGATAGCGGCCTCCTTCATGAGATCATGACCACGATCTTTTGTCGCGGTCAAAATACGCCATGCCCACGATCCAGGTGAGGAAACTCTCTGCTTTCTTCTTAGTGGCCTATTGAGGTTCGTAACCACGATCATCGTCACGGCCTGGCCATGACTATTGCATTTTCTGCTCTTCTTACTCCTATGCTTCTCAATCGTACTCGGATGAACTCTAATCGATTCCCGATCAATGCCAAATGAATATAAAACCTGGAATTTCATCACAAACACTTGGGAACAATGTAGTCAAAATCGCGCTTTCAAACTTAAAAACTTACGCTTTTACGTTTGCAGGTCACTAAAACGCTTCTCTACAAAATCTCAGTTTTTATAACTTATATAGTTAAAAATTCTGCTTTAATAATTAAAAACTTACGATATTACGCTTCCAGATCACTAAAAATTTTTTACGTAGAAACTCGTTTTTTATTACATTGCTTGGGGAAAGCATAAAATACGACACATTGGGGTCAGTTCCCCTATGAAAACCTTCATATCATGGATACCTATGCCAAAATGCATGTTTTGCGAATAGGAACGAATATGGGCATAAAAACTTGATATGTGGATTAGACACTGTTATTTAAAATGCAAATGTCTTGGGAATAGGGGATAAATAATGCCTATTTTAGGTGTCATCAAACTCTCCCACGCTTAAGAGCTTGCTTGTCCCCAAGCAAACCTACTAAAATCATACAACTTGCAAGATAAATCACAATGTCATGCATAATAGATCATCGTAGAGGGTCACCTAGCAACTTTTGAGGCCAACTGGTCTGTTGATGTTACTTGAATCTGTCAATGTTATTTGGTTTCGAGTTCTAGGCCTGGTCTGTAACCGTTTCCTTTGCCAGATTGGATTAGGTTCAGACCCACATGGAGAAGTACTATAAATACTTCTCATACTCGTTTGTAATCTGTAATCTCCTCGATATAGTGAAACTGGCTCTCTCTCGCCCGTGGACTAGCTAACACACATCGTGTTAGTGAACCACGTAAATCATGTGTCTGTGTTTTTTGATTCTCGCTTTCGTATTCTTGCTATATCGATTCCGACGATTTCTTGATCTGTAGCAGCGCGTTTATAACAAGTGGTTTCAGAGTCGCAACTGGAAATTAGGCTAGGGATTTCGATTCAGAAGAATGACGTCGTTGAACATGAAGATCGAAAAGTTCACGGGGAAGAACAGCTTCGCTATATGGAAGATTAAGATGCATGCTTTATTAAAACAGCAAGGGCTGTGGGGGTCGCCGTCTACGAAACAGAAGAAGGCAGCGGTCGATGACGATGAGTGGAATACCTTGGAGGAGAAGGCCCACTCGACCATCATGCTATCATTGTCTGATGACGTCATCATTGAAGTCGCTGTTGAGAAGACTGCCGCGGGCTTGTGGTTAAAGTTGGAGAGTCTATATATGACGAAGTCCTTAACCAACAAGCTGCATCTCAAGCAACGGTTGTTCAGCTTGAGGATGCAAGAAGGTACGGCTTTGAGGGAACATCTCAAACAGCTTAACTCTATTTTGCTGGATCTGTGTAATATAGATGTTCAAGTTGACGACGAGGATGCTGCCCTAATCCTGCTGGTTTCTTTGCCGAGTTCATATGAGAATTTCGTTGATTCTTTTATTGCCGGTAAAGAAAGCGTGTCGTTGGAGGATGTCAGGTCTGCTCTTCATACGAGAGAGATCAGGCATAAGGCCTCCGGATCTGGTACAGGTGGTGAGGCATCAGGTTTGGCTGTTACAGGTGGAAAGGGAAAGAAGAAATCTGGTAAAGGGAATTCGAACAAGAATTCCAAGGGTCCTGGTCCACAACCAGGTGATGCTTGTCACAACTGTAAGGAAGTGGGGCATTGGGAGTACAACTGTCATAGGAGAAGAGGGCAACAGAAGAAACAATGTTCAGTTGCCGTGGCAGAAGTGGACAACAGTTCTGAAGACGATCTCGCCTTGGCTGTAGATGAGAAGGCACATCGTGGGGATGTGTGGTTTCTGGATACTGCAGCCTCATACCATATGTCTCCGAATAGGGATTGCTTCACAACCTATGAGCAGATAGATGGTGGTAAAGTGGTCATGGAAAATGGAGCTGTCTGCAAGGTTGTTGGAATCGGGTCCATAAAGGTTCGGGCACATGATGGTTCGTTCTGTACCATGAATGATGTCAGGCATGTTCCACGAATGAGAAATAACCTGATCTCCTTGAGTTTACTCGACAACAAGGGTTTCAGCTTCAAAGGAAAATGTGGAGTTTTGTATGTCTGCAAAGGTTCAAGGAAGGTGTTGAAGGGCGTGAAGCTTGGGACCTTGTATGCATTACAAGGGTCTGTGTTGTCTGGTTTTGTTGCAGTTGCATCGTCTTAGGTTCATCGGGAAGATATGACCACTCTTTGGCACATGAGACTGGGGTATATGAGTGAACGGGGGATGCAAGTTCTATCGAAGAGGGATCTTCTTTGCGGGCACAAGGTGCAGAATTTGGAATTCTGTGAGCATTGTGTGTTTGGGAGGCTACATCTTCTTTGCGGGCGCAAGAAGGGTATCCACCGAACGAAGGGGATACTGGATTACCTCCACTCCGATTGTTGGGGTCCTTCACGAGTTGAATCCATTGGAGGCAGCATGTATTTTCTGTCTATTATTGATGATTATTCGAGATTTACTTGGATTTTCATGATGAAGCAGAAAAGTGAGGCTTTCACGAAGTTCAAGCAATGGAAGACATTGGTGGAGAATCAGACCGGGAAGAAGATTAAGAAGCTGCGAATGGACAATTGTCTGGAGTTCTGTAATTCTGAGTTCAATGAATTCTGCAAGGATGAAGGGATTGCCCGTCATCGAACTGTGAGAGATACACCCTAGCAGAATGGCGTTGCAGAAAGGAGGAACCAGACATTGTTGGAGAGAGGACAGTGCATGCTCTCTAATGCTAGACTAGAGAGCAGATTCTGGGCAGAAGCAGTGAACATGTCGTGCTTCCTGATCAACCGTGGACCTCACACAGGTATCGAGTTTAAGACCCCTTATGAGGTGTGGTATGGTAAGCCTGCTGATTACTCTTCACTGAAAGTTTTTGGCTGTCCTGTTTATTATCATGTAGATGAGGGTAAACTGAACCCAAGGGCAAAGAAGGTATTTGTGGGTTTGAGTTAAGGGATTTCGAGTCTGGTCACCTTCTGAGCATCGAGTTATACTCAGTAGAAATGTGTCATTTGATGAGAAGTCTATGCTTAACCCCATGTTGAAGGTTACTGTTGTTGAAGGTAGCAAAAATGTTGATAAGCACGTGGAGCTGCAAACTCTCAATGAGAGTGAGTTTGGCACCACAGTGGAGAAGATCAACGTGAGGATGTTTCTACAGAGCCAGAAACTTCAAAGTCCAGTGCAGGAGCTCAACATTCTATAGCTTCCGGTAGACCAAAGAGAGCGACTGCAGGAGTACCTCCAGAGAGGTATGGTTTCGAGGACATGGTGGCGTATTCATTTCAGGTTGCTGAAG